CCTTTACTGTTTTACGATCAACCATTCAGATATATTGGTGAAACAAAAAGTTATATTTGTCTGCAGCATAATCATGCAAATGCCTTCCAACATCGCCCAATGCTGACAAGCATTTTCATTTACAACCTAGCGACGGCTTTTCGTATCGCAAAATCACCTTGGTATTTATCTGTTACGATGGCCTTAAGTCGAATGCACAAATGGCGACTTCTTTTCCGACCAATTTTAATTGAAAGAAAGAGTCCTTTACCTACTGCTCATTGTACCGAAACTAAAAAGTGTAGTGAACTCAGCTCAGCAAGCAAACTCAGCCGTTGACAAAAGAACGTTTCCACGATTCACTGGATTTTTGGTGAAAGAGATTCACAAAACTCTCTTCGTTCAAAGAGCAACATTAACTGCTCGTATGTGAATAGACGACCTACTTCCTCCACAATCAAGCAACCGCAGCATCAAGCAATTAGTTGGGCTACGCATTGCCTGCTGTCTTTTCAATTTCTTGCTGGGGCCGTATCATCGAAGACCGTCGACCCTGAAGTGACCCCTAATGCGTACTAGAGATAGCAGGACACATAGAGCCGTCAATGTCACTCGTCCTCACAGCACACATACCTGGTTAGGATATTCTGGACTAAAGAATGCATAACCGACGAAACAACATGGTCAAGAATCCTATCGCTTCGAAAACAGGCTTTGTGATTTTTCTCTGCATTGTGATGGATAGGCACGGCTTGAAACTGTGCAAGAGTTCAACAAATTCAGAATTCCATTTAAATCAAAAACGGTTACAGTACAAGAATGAATGTGCGGCACCAGAAAACAATCAATAAATCTCTATCGGTAAGTATATGTTCATATTTATTTTGACTCATGCAATGTCGCCTAGTCCTGTTGGCAGTGTCTGCTCGGATTGATGAAGTTAATGTGATGTAGGCACTTGATATCGAGGACTTCAATATTAGGATGCAGATTCTGTACAATTGTGTGAAAAAATGTTATTTTGTGCTGCGACTCAATGTCTTATTGGAATATTGATCACCAAATGCGTGTACAAAATATTTGTGTACATGTATCCACAAAGACTGCAAATCGAAATAGGTGCAGCTTAATTTAGGAATCAACGATCTTAGTTAGAAATTCTCCTATGCAAATCTTTAAAACATTAGAATTGCCATTGCTGAATATGGGCCACTGCTAATTTGCGCAAGCAGTTGTGCTTTAAACCACAAGTCTCCCTTGACAGAAACGTGGTGATTCGAGCGCATTAGCTTTCAACATGTCAGTTGCAGCTACTGACAACCCTAGAACGGAGACAAGGCGCGTGAAATCAGACGCAGTTGGTCCATAAGCGTTCAGTGAATTCAGGTGAAATCAGGTGACATGAAGCGTATGTGCCTGAAAGTGGTCACCATTAGCAACCAATGACGACAAGCGTGAGAGAGCAGCCCAATCACTTTCCGTCATTACATCTAATGTTCTTATTTTTTGCGTACCGAGCAGTAAATCACAGGAGACATTTATAATTTGAACTGGAACTAAACAATGAAACAATCACATTAAGGAAGCCATGTGAAAGGTGACAGATCCATTGGAGAACAGGAGTAGAGCGAAACAGATATTTCCACTGATAAGAATGCCGTTTGCTTGTATTTTACCCGTTTCATGTATTTTCGAGTTTCCATCCTCTAAATATCAACTCCGTTTTTTACTAATCAACCTTGAATAATGAGGCATTTGAATAAGTAAAGTTGCATCTTGGAATCCCAGGTGCGTTTGTTTACGACGAATATATCTCGAGGCATTTACGTGTCATTCGAAAAAGGCCAATGGACGGATTATAATGTGACACTGATATAAGCAGTGTTTTTGCGGTTATTTGAAGCACATTTGTATTGTAGATGAATCTGAATTATCTGACTGTGACATGGAGTCAGATGCACTGTCAGAAACGTCCACTCAAGAAATAATGAGACCTGAGGAGATAAAAGAATCACATGTGGTGGCGGAGATTAAGCAGGAACCTGGGAAATGGATGCAGCAACAGGAGCTGGAGTTTTCAGGGTTCAACTTCACAACGCCACGCATTTATGGAACATGTCAACTATAAGAATTTCAAGAAAACCACGATGTTGAAAACAGGCTTTGTGATTTTTCTGTGTATTGTGACGGGTAGGCATGTCTTGAAGGTGTGCACGAATTCAACAAATTCAGATTTCCATAGAAATCACAAACGGTTGCAGTACAAGAATGAATGGGTGGCCCTATAAAACAGCCAACAAATCTCCATGGGTAAGTACAGGTTCAAGTTTATTTTGATTTTTTGAAATTTCACCTAGTCCTGTTGTCACTGTCTGCTCAGATTTCTACTGATCACCTTAACGTGATGCAGGAACTTGAAACCGTGGACTTTAATATTAGAATGCAGAAGCTGCAAAATTATGTGAAATAAGTTCATTTGTACCACGAATAAATATCTAATTGGAATGCTCATTGCCATATGTTTGCAAGAAATATTTGTGGACATGTATCCATAGGTTAGTCACAACAGATCAAAGGTGTTTGAGACTAGAGAATGCAAATCGAATTAGGTGTTGCCTACATCACCAATCAACGATCTCAGTTGGAAATCCCTTCGTGCAAGTATTAAAAACGTAAAAATTGTCATTACTGATTATGTGTCACCAAATGTATCAGACTCATCTATCGCGAAAGTCAATAATCGTTTAGAAATTATTGATGTTGACATTGAAACAGACTAGCTAATTTTGGTTCTCAAAATCTACTAACACCTAATTCTAATCAAATAAGAGTAAAATGAAGATCAAACCGAAACATAAGACCATTTTTGTATATATACCGTCAAGTATTTCAAAACGTGCACTTTAGGCATAATTATGGCTACTTTCACATGAATCGTATATTCATAACCCTTCAACAATTGATTACAATATGTAGAATTGTGCGTCTTTGTTAATAATTTGTACTTATTAATTTCTACAAACACCTTGTACACAGCTGCCGCAGAGTTAACCATAGACTCCGTTTTGTCTACGTATTATCTCTGCTCACACCCATAGAATTGTGTTAATATTCCTGATCCCGTTCTGATTGTATTCGAAACTAGTCTTGTGACCTTTTTAGCTGTAATTCTAGCATCCGAGGCTTTTTTGTTGTAGTCGGGTGTCGCATGTGAACCGTATCAAAACCTTGACAAAATCAGCTGAATATCGCTTGTAAACGTTTTGGTGGAGACAATGAAAATCAAACAGCAAACCAAAACTTACCACCGGAGCTGCTTTTGCGATCTAAGTCATCCGCATTAATCTTAGAGAATTGTGACGAAGACTGGTTTGAACGTCTATTCAGCATCTTGTCTTCTACGTTTAAGTGGTGTTAGCCTGAGACCTCCTCGGAATCACGCATGAGCGTATGGGTAGTGTAAAGATAGGCCTTTTATAAAACGTTAAACAGTAATCCCAAGTCGGAGATCAATTTTGACTCGCAAACTCGCCTTTAACTATTCAATGGCAGTTTTCACATTGGCCAACGTGTTATTTATCACCTGTAAACGAAATTTAGGATGAAGACAGACATTATTAATAGTTTTAGAGACAACAAGTGGGAAAGGCGGTTTTGAAAAAAAGGCGATGAAATGACCTTGAGACGTACAACTTCTTCGAATGACAATAATCGAATGGAACCTTGGCGAAACATGTAAAAAGAGCTATACTACCAAATTAGGACCATTGCCATTGGGCAGGTGAGGCAAGAAAAATCTCAGCATCGTATTTTGTTTGGGATAATGTTAGTTGACACCTTCCTTTCATGGATGGCTTTGTGACCTTTAACCCTGAACGATCTTGTTCCTGTTCCCGCATCCATTTCTCAGGTCCATGTTCCATCTCCGCCATCACATCTGATTCATATACCTCCTCGTCAGGTCTCAGAATTTCCAGAGAAGACGTTTTAGATGATGTATCTGACTCTATGTCGCAGCCAGATAAGTCAGATTCACCTAGAACGGAAACGCGCTTCAAGAAATCCTTAGCCAGGTAATTGACTCGGAGACACCACAGAATACTTGACAATCGCGAAATCGACAACACGCGACATAAGATACTACGCTTGGTTAGAGACTATATTTCAGCTTTAAAAGTAGAAGAAAAAGCAATGTTTGGATCAGTGGCACATAACGATGAGTTTTTACATCTTCCTCAAATGTAACGTCAATGAAATTAGTACTATTTGGCTCAATCAAACATATTTTGAGTTCCATAATGCAAGTTCATTAATTCAAAATCCCTCACCAATCCAGGTTAAGCAATAGAAGCAGGGTAGACGAATGCATTATATGCACACGAAATTGTACGCAAAGAGCAAAATACAAATAACGTTTACTCACCACTGGCAATACCTGCAGCATTGCAGCCCTGTTCACCAATGGAGCTGTCATCACTTACAAGGGTTCCTGAATACAATTGTTTTACTGGATATTTGCCGTTTAAACAACCAGTGTCATTTCCACGCTCTTCAGATATCGACATTGAATTGCTATTCGTTTCAGATGATGTATCTGACTCCATGTCAAAGTCATATAAGTCAGCGCCATCTAGAAGGGGAATGGGTTTCAAATAATCCTCAGCCAGCCGAATGTATTGTAGACACTACAGTGCACTTGACAATCACGAAATGGAAAATACCTGATATGAGAATGAACGCTTGCTCAGGGATTTGATAACAGCTTTCAAAATGCACTGTTTTGAATCTGGTGTCCATGATATCTGGAAAACCATCAGCTGATGATTGCTTGTAAGCACTTCGATGGAGACATTAAGAAAGCAAACAGCAAAGAACACTCACTACTGGAGCTGCTTTCAGAGTTTGCGTCATCCGCATAAGTCTTGGAGTATTTTGTCAAAACTTTGTTTGAACGCTTTATCAGCATCTTGTCTTCTCCGCTGAGTCTCTCACCTTTATTATTACATTCAACCATTCAATTTGGACAATGCAAGGTCGCAGGTTTACGTGGTAGTGAATTTGTTAGCATTGATTTGTCGTGTCTACAGGCTCTGCTTGAAAAACATTGTTCGCTGTATGTGCATACACAAGATTGACTAAATTCGGCTGAGTGGAACCTGCAGCCAAATGAAGCATCAAGTGTGTTAACTGATGTCAGTGACAGCGCGGTTGACGAATCAAGCGTTTGAGGTGGCAACGAATGAAAAGAAGGAGAATGAGGCAAATGTGAAGCAGCAAAAACATCATCGCTCAGGTCTCTCCTTTACAACGACAACTGACCACAGTCAAATGTCACTCAATTTTGGCAAACTGAGTTCAATCTGAATCAGTAAGTAGTTTTGAAATAACCATGTGTCGTAGTCATTAACCCTTTATCCTTATCTTAAATCAAATCTTCGGTTGGCTCAGGCAATTGCTGAATCCACAATGACATCCTTTAGAGTGCTAATTCAACAGAGGTGAGGAAATATCCTTCACAGATTGCATTTATTAAAATATTCGTCTTGGCGAATGCTAACATTAATCGAATAATAATGCAATACACCGCATTTGAGCCCTCACAAGCAATTAATTTCAGTACCCAAGTCAAATGTAATTTATTTTTAAATCTGCATCACTTATGACGCCAGATATAAACAGGATATTCTAAATTGTCAACTGCAATCGAGACAAAATAAAAGCTAATTAATTTACTCGTCTGCAAAAAAGTCGTCATGGTTCACGAATCAGTCACAGATCGAAATCTAATTTGGATGGGTGTGTAATAATTCAAATACGTCAGAGATGTAGATGATAATTTAATATGCTTGTCTGTGTCTCCTGGGTTTGTAATGGTAAAATGTGCCAGGCGTTTTGTGCGCGATTGCTTTAACCGGATAACTGTCTGACAGCAGCAGCAATAATATTGCAATTCGAGTATCCGACACCAATGACCTCTGTTGGATATTCCAACAATGTCGGTTTTGCGTTTCCTTACAGTCAACCCCGACTACGCACGTGCATAGACAAACCTGAGCTGTTGACTGAAGGAGTATACACTGGCGACTTAACAGGAAAAGACAAGATGCCGATAAGTCCTTCAAACCAATTTTTGCCACACTACTTCGCAAATGGTGCAGGTGTCTCAGATCTGGATAGCAGCTTCAATGGTGAGTGTTGGTTTGCTGTTTATTTTAAATATCTTAATCAATTTGGCGTATGTGCGGTGCTTGCGTTTACGGTTACATAACACTTGGTAGACGATAGGTTCCATTTACTATTTTAATAATTTCCAACAGGTAATACTTTTACCAACATGTAATCTAATCGTTGGCGCATTCACTCACGCTTTGACGTCGAGTTAACTGACATAACCACGTGCGTGTCAACACACATGTGTAACCACTAAAGTTTAATATTTGATAGTGCAGCGATGTTAAAATTAGGTTTTGACCATTAAAGACAAATTTGTACACAGTCATGTAGTGTGGTGTCCTTGAAATGTGTAAAGACCACTACAGTAACATTAATTACCAGAAACTGAGTTTAATTTATTCGAATGCCCTTGACGTGTGGTCGCAGATGTGGACGGTTTGACGTGTCGGCGGAAGTTTGTTGAGTAAGAAGTGGTAAAGAACAAGAAGAGAGAGCAAAACTTTGCTTAGTAGACCCTGCCCGCAATACACCTACGAGATGCGATATCAGCTAAAGTTTACTGAGTTTGAAGTGGCCCAGTTGGAGTAGGAGGAGATGAAACAAAATATCGCTTGTCCGGGTTATCACAAACTGCAGGTTCAGAAAAGTCTTAAACGTGTTGCTTTCAATGACTTTTAGATCCTCACAAAGCAAAATACTTGGATCTCAAGGTGATGTCTCCCTATTTACAGCAGAAATTTAGAATTTACTTAAAATAGAAATGGCCGTTTAACGGGTTCGCAGTAAGATTAAAAGTAACCTTAGCAATGAGAACACTGTTATTCCTCGTGGAACTGTAGTTCAACCTATGCTGTTCGGGAGCAGTTGAAGTGTAATCTTAACTGGTCGTAGTTGATGTGGCCACGGTTTGATTTTTCTGCAATACGTAAATATATTTGCCTAAATATTACCTTATTGTGTAAGACTGGCAGGTTGTCAAATTGTATATGCAGTTACAAGTAGATTTTTGGCAATTTAACTCGGGAATAGTTCCACCATTTCAAAGGCAAACCTCATAACGATGTCTGTCCTAATTTCTACTTATACTGCTTTAACCGCTTCCTTTTCAAGAATGCGTTTCTCTTCTAGATGTGTCCGACTTACCTGACTGTGTCATGTAGTCTGATGCATCATCAGAAACGTCTTTTCAGAAAATACTGGGACCTGAAAAAGGAATTAAATTAATGAAATGTCACAGCGGAGATGAAGCAGGAACCGGAGAAATAGATGCAGCAACAGGAGCTGAACTTGTCAGGATTCAACTCAATGCCATCCATTTATGGAGTATGCCAACTAAGAGAATCCCAGTCAAATCTCGATGCTTCGTTTTACCTTGCCCAACAAGTCCAATGGTAATTCAGAGAAGGTTTGTCTTGATTTGTATTATTTTTTTAGTTTATTGTTGATTGCTGTCATTAGAGATAATTGCTTGCCTCAGACTCTCAGATTCATTTCATTTCATTCATTTCAGAACCATTCATCTTCTCTATTGTCGCTACAAACCCTACCCACCATTGCCCTCAGCCATAATCCACTGTACAAGTGGAAATTGACACGTTGACTACTTTGGCAACAACCCCTGAACGCTTAAAGTTGAGTTTTAGCCGACACAGATCGCCGTTTCGGATTACTCTTTTGTGTGGTGTAAACGCTTTGAGGTGATCCCGAGGAATTCTCCGAAGCAAACC